AGTTTCCCCCGAGCTCTTGAATAAAACTACCTCCTCTCTACCAGGGCTGGGAAGACAACACAGTCTAACTTCCCTTGCAACATACAGAGGGAAGGAGAGCACTGTACGGGGGCCTAAAATCTCTCATAGTCAGTATTATCCAAAAGAAGAGCAAGACTCTCTGCCGAGAAGACTCTGAATTTGGATAAACCAGGAGTGGGCTTGCCCTCTTCCCTTTCGCTCACTGACCTATGGGTCTCTATTATCTGACAATTGGCTTGGAGCCAGGGGAAGGGCTCCTGGGTCTGGGTCTAGGCTAAAGAAAAAGCTAGTCTTTCTCTTCAATCTTTTCCTTAATCGATCTTCACTTTGGGGTAGTCCATGATAGCTAGCTCTTGGGGATGTTAACTGTCCTCTGCGTCACTTCTGCTAACTTTCCCTACGATGATGCTTCATAGTCACACGAAGTGTAGAAATATTTTTATGGTGAGCTCATCATCTTCTATGGTAAGTTTTAATGTTTGTTTGTTTTTTCTTAACGGGAGTCCTTTGCATCTTAGATCATGGGCTGTCTCTACCGGGAAGGTTTCACACAGCTCCTGCTGGCACGGGAGTGAACTATTGCCCCCTACAAAATTCTGTGTTAGTTTTTGGCTTAGGGTTCCTGCAACTACTTATGGCATGAACTTGGACTTGGGTCTATGTATGGGCTTTCACATCTCCATTTCTCATGACATGTGCCTCTCTCCTTTCTTTCCCTGGCTCATGAGGAAGAAAGAGCCCATAGCTCTCCAGCTCCTGGACAGTGTTGTCCTTGTCCTGTCTCTATTTCTCTTGGGTCCAAGATCACACCTTCTGTCTGGTGCCTTACACCTCACCATCCCTGCCCCAGGGGTGCCTCTGTATGGAAGCCACAGTGTCTCACATCCTGCTTTGACTCTGACTTTCCTCTGTTTCTGGCTCCGGAGCGAGGTGTGGCTGTGTATTAACTACTCTGCTGTTATATTTTATCCAGCTCTGTTTTGCTAAGCTTAGTCTGCCTTGTTTCCGAGTGTCATTCCTCTCATACCTTTGCTGCCCTGAGGGTGGGAACTGCATCTGCACAAGGAATGCCCAGTGTTTGGTAGTGATGCCCACTAGAGGCCAGTGAAGCCCGCTCTGTGCAGCTGCTCTGGGGACATGAGTGTTCCTTAGCTTCTCTGAGAAGCACTGGGACTATGTTAGCACCAACTCCCTTCGGCCTCATCTCAGCCCACATAGACCCAGGAAGGAAACTGGCTCTGCTGTAGAACAGAGTTTTGCCCAAGTCAAGGCACTCTGGAATGCTCCGAAGCAGCCTAGTGACTGTGAGGATCCTAGAGCTTGTTTTCATCTTCTCCTCTCAGATTAACATCACTTTCAGGGTCTCCGCAGACTCCCCTACTGCCGCAGCCTGGGCCAGGGCCAGAGAGGAAGCCGTGGGAAGAGGGGCTCTTGTTGCTACTGGTGATGGAAACTTAGGAAGCAAATGATAGAGCCTGTGACTGAGGCAGCGGCCTCTCTGTAGAGTCCCAGATCAGAGGGGTGGTGGAATACTTAAAGGTTAAAGGCTATTCCCCTGTGGGGTCCTTTGAAGAAGCTCCAAGCAACCACCTAAGGAAGCCTGAGGCCAGAGTGGCCCAGCCCATTCTCCCATCTAGTGGGTCCCATTTTCCTTATCACTTAGTTGAGACTCGGCTCTGTTCCAGACCGGCAGCCTAAAGCAGTGGGCTGGAGCAGAGATGCAGCCGAGCTCGGGCAACCCAGCGGCAGAGGGGAGAGTGGGTGATAAATTTAAATAACCAGCTTGACTTGGCAGCTTGCTGAGTTGTGATGCAGTGAAATTAAAATCTCGGCAGAACTTGCAAACGCCACCCTCGGTGTCTTGCCTTGGTTCCCTGCTGGAAGCTGGGTGGGGAGGCTATCGGGCTGAGTCCTAGCCTGTGGCGGCCACCCTTGCCTGTGATGTGATTAGCTGTGTCCTGGCCCACTGGCTCCCACTCTCCCCTCCACACAATAGTCCAGGCTCCTGTCTCCTCTCAGTCCTGACCTTGTGGAACAGCTGTATCAAGTGGCTGGTGAAGTTTGAAATCAGTCTCCAGTGCCAGGCGGTGGCAGGAATATCAATAAGGTCTGACTTCTCAGGTTGGGCCAAGGCCTTCCCAGCCAGCTTCCTTAAGACTCACTTCTTAGGGTTTGCCTCCTCTCAGGGAGAAGAGTGAGCTGGGCACCTGGGGACTTGTGGAATGCCTTGGCACATCCAAGACTATTAGCATAGCATGACCTTGCAGCTCCCCGATTTAGCACCCATGAGGCCGCAATCACCTACCTGCTACCAAAGCCCTTACTATTCTCAAATGAAACACGCTTTTAAGGAATGTTTGTGAGCCGGATACAGTGACTTACTCTTTTTAATCAAAGCACCCAGGAGCTGAGGTAGTTGGATTGTTGTGAGTTAGAGGCCAGCCTGGGCTACATCGTGAGACGCTATGGGGTGGAGGATTTTTGAGAGGAATTTCTGCAAATAAACCGAGTCTCTCTCACCTCCCCAGCGTGCTTGGAGCCCAGTTCTCACAGATGTCAACACCTCCCTAGAACTCACTCCAAGTCCGTTGGTTCTGCCTGTCCTTGCCACACTGCTCATTGCTGCCTATCAAATCCTGGCCCAGCACGTTAAACCTGTTCCCAAGATGGCCCACGAAGTCTCTGGGCGATACTCGTTTCTCACCTTGACAGTACCTCCAGCAAATTCTGTTTGTCCCCATAATAAACACATCATGAATCATTCATCTTTAATAGATTATGCAAATTAGGAGGACATAAAATCAACAAAGATCAATAGCTGCAGCAGTTTAATTGCCAGCAAAAACATTTTAAGAATGAGCATAATCTGCAGCCCTTTCTCGAGTAATGGCACTATTAATCCAAACAGTGGGTCTGGGTCTAAGTGTGCAAAAATCACTCCCTGCCCCCACCCACCCCTCCCCTCCCCCACCCCTCTCCACACTTCTCTCTTTTTTGGTAATTTCCAGTTTCTGAGCGAGTTTCCCCGTCATTACCACTGGTGAACAGCTCCGAATGTTAATGGTTCTGCTTTTGTTACTCCTCGCTTGATTGAAATGTCGCATACAGATTGAGATGTTAGTGCTAACTTGCCACCTGGGAATGTCAAGCTGAGTCTGAAATGAACTTTTCTCACACTTGGATCCAGATGGATCAGCTGAAGATGTTCCCAGGCTGAGCTGGGACCGTTCCAGGGCCATAGGGGGGGAGACTGGTGGGGGCTGCTCAAGGTGGAGGCATTTTTCTACATTAGCCCCCCAGTGTCCCCTGCAGCAGGAGTCCTGCCCGGAAGAGCCACATGTCCATCCCCAGGAAGTTCCTGCCTTCTGGATTGCAGCACTGACTAGGGAGAAAAGTCCTTTACGCTCTTTCAGCACTTTTGAGGACAAACCACTACATCGGAAAGCTGGCTTGACTTGGGTCAGAAGATCACAGAGCAACTATATGTAGCATCAGAGAACTCATGTCCAGGACCTGTGAGCTAAGCCAGAGGTTCTCAACCTGTGTGTGGGTCATGACCCCTTCGGGGGGTCACATATCAGATGTCCTGCATATCAGACATTTACATGATTCATAACAGTAATAAAATTATAGTTATGAAGTAGCAACAAAATACTTTTATGGTTGGGGGTCAGCACAGCATAAGGAACTGTGTGTAGTAAAGAGTCGCAGCATTAGGAAAGCATTAGGAAAGGTTGAGGATTACTGATCTAAGCTGTGTCTTGACTCAGCTGGCGGAGCTCAGGACAGCACTCCCCAAAGCCTAGGCAGCCCGGGAGCACTTGCTTTGGAGGCCTACCCGGAAGACTACAACTCTGTTTTTGCTGGCCATAGCTTCAGGAGAGCATGGGAGAGATAGGGCTCTCTGGAGCCCCCTGGAGGAGGGGCTTTGAGCCCACCTCAGCCTGAGCTGTGTTCCTATCCACAGCAAGTTATGAAGTCACCAACACAACCGATCACCACAGAGCCCTGGCCTATGGCAGGTCCTATGCCCGCTCCCTGTTTTTGTCACTGGATGTGACGCTGGCTGCCTACAGCCTTGCTGTCCTGTCCCCAGGCAGCCTCAGCTCACTCACAGGTAACGCCTCAGTGTCTCCCAATCCCCACCGAGACCCTTCTCAATCATCCTGTCTCCCAAGGTACAAACGGCACATTGGCTTTAGTGCCTCCAGAATAATTAGGTGAATTTTAATAACACCTCAATGTGTGTCTCTCTTACTGGAGCACTCTCCTGGCCCGGAAACCCTTCCATGGCACCAGGGACCTTCTGAAGCTGGCATCTGAAGCATCGTCTACTAGCCCTCCCCTGAGTGGCCACTCCAGCGCCTCTGCAGCTCTCATCCCTGGAAGGCTTGGCCAGGGTACCTCTGCCCTGTATTTGACCTCCCCTGGCCTTGGAATCCAACTTTCCTCTCAGTGGCTTTCTCCAGGAAGTAGGAGAAAGGCTGCAACAACTGGGTTCCACTCTGCAGGGCTGCCGCTACACCCTCAAGTCCCAGGCCGCAGCTACTCAAGCTGCCTGGAGAGAGGTAAGCAAGCCCCTCGGCACCCCTGGGAACAGAGAAGTGTGAAGGCGACAGGCGGGGACCTCTGAGTCACTTTCCTCAGCCGGCCTGTTTGCCCTGACATTCTTCTGCATATGTCCAAAGCCTGGGAAGTCCAGGCAACTTGGGGAAAGAGAGGAAAGGAAGCAAGGACGCAGAGAGAGCAGGCAGCGGGCCTCTGGTCCCACCCTTTCCCAGGCTGACGCCCAGAACCCTGACCACAGTGTTTCAGGCCTACATCTACACACATCTGTTCACGAAGGCTCGCTCTCTCTTTCTCTCTCTCACTCTGCAGATACCATGGCAGGGGGCCCACTTGTCACACTGGGTCCCAGATGGCACAGACCGAGGCACCCCACTGAAAGCAGCGCCCCACCCTCCCGGAAGCCCCCTTACCGGTCACGACGGGGTACGTCTGCGTGCCTGACACATTGCTGCCCAGCTCAGGGTTGGTGGATGCAGATAGACCTGACTTGACTTCATCAAGCCCAGGGGTCAGGGCCGGGAGCGAGTACTCATTCCCCTGGGAGGAGAGAAAAAAGTGACAGTTCTCTATTGATGCGTCCACATGGAAAGATGCAGCACGCAGATGGAGAGGAGGACCCCGGAGCCCGCCCAGATGGGGCTGAAGGGGATGGCTGGGTGGGGCCGGAGAGTTTGGTGAGAGAGGGGGTGGACCTGACGTGGTGAGTGGAGGTATAGTCTACACACTGGGGGTGGACTTCCCAACACCCCTGGAACTGCTTCCTCATCTTTTGCCTAAGAAGCTCCAGGAGGAAGTGTCACAGTAGGGATCCCCTCACTAAGAAGTGTGGGGTGCTCAGGTTCCTCTGAGCAGGAGCCTTTGGGGAGCAGAGGTGGACCCTCCCTGACACATGGCTGAGGTAGCTGTTGGGGGAAGGGCCTAGTGGGCCTCTAGCCTGGCACTGCTGGGTTGCCTGATGGGGTTTGGGCGCCCCTTTTTAAAAAACAAACAAAGACAGCCCCATGGGCCCCTTGCTCTCTGCCTGTGCACTGGGGTATGAAATTGGGGAGGGGGAGAGTCCACATGGCTAACAGAAGGGTGGGAGGGGGCCAGCCATTGAGTCTGAAAGGGTGTCCTGCCCGAAACACTTGGGTAATTGCCTTTTTATTGCAACCACTACCAAGCCAGACCCTGGAGCTGGGCAGACCAGGAGCCCGCACAAAGCAGGAAAAGTTGCTCTGATTAATATTACGTTAAATTAAAACTGATTTTCTGCTCTTTCGGGTCCGTTTTTTTTCCCCTTCCGCTTCCTGGCCCCCCCAGAGGACCCCCTCCCCTCCCTGGCTGGACGGGATTGCCTCGTCATTTCCAATTCCTTCTCGTATTGATCTTCCTGTAGAAATCAGTTTTGTAATTAGCTGCAAATTAGGCCTTCTACTGGGGGTGAAGCTGCCCCCTGATTTATCACCAGAGTAATTCGCTGTGATCGGAGAGAAATTAAAATGAACTCAATTAGGCTTCGGATTTGCTTTATGGGCCCTGCTCCGAGTTTCAGGGGGAAAAATGACTGTGCTGGTGTTTAATAGTCTAATGAAAGTAAATAAAGGTTATTCATTGTAATACAGCCGGGGACTTGGGGAGGGTGCACCGAGCCGCCCGCCTCGGCCAGCTCCTCCTTTGTTGGTTTATGGCTCAGGGCACCTTAAAAAGACTTTTGATTTTTGTTTTATGAAGACAAACAGCTTACGGGATAAAAGGACGGGCGGGGAGAAAGGAGAGAGACTAGGAGCTGCTGGAGTCTTAGTGTGCGACTGTGCTGTGTGGAGCCCGAGAGGCTTTGCCAGTGTCCAAGTGTGTGCACGTGTGTGAGCGTACAATGTAAGCTTATGCACAGCAGGCTGGGATGTGCTGCAGTTGAAGGCCTGACCTAGGCCATATATGTAGGCTGGTTGGGGCAGGGGGGGGGGGGAGGGAGGCTATACTGGTGTGTGGGTGGAGACATGTGCTAGAGGGTTGTGGAGCTAGAGGGTGACCTGGGAAGCGTGTGCATTTATGGGCTTTGCAGGACTGCTGGGTTACATAGTGAGTACTCTGTGGGGTGGGAAGAGCAGGTGAACGATAGCGGGAAATGGCAAGTCTTTCTTTTTTTATTTTTTAAAATTGAAAAACTTATTGTGTGGGGAGTAGGTCATACCATGGCGCACATGTGGAAGTCAGGGGACAGCTCTGTGGAGTCAGTTCTTCCCTCCCACCTTTATGTGGGGTCTGGGGACCAAAGGCAGGCTGGCAGGCTTGTAGCATTGGGTGGAGAGTGCTATTGCCCTCTGAGCCGTCCTGCTAGCCCTGGAATGTGAGGTCCCTGGGGGTCTGTTTCTGGGTGGTGTGTTTTGCTGATGTCACCTGTGTGCCAGCCTATGTCGTGTGCTCTGTTCTCGTCTGTGTCTGTAAGCATTGAGGGTGACCGAGACATCTCTCAGCTGGCCTGGGCTCCCAGCGGATCAGGGAGAAGGCACAGGTGGGTTCCCCTCCGACACGGGACAAGAGGATCTTCACAGACCTTCTGTAGGACCTCGTGGGGCCAGGGCAAGGGTCACAGCAAGAGGATATTTCTGTCTTTCTCGTACCAGGATCCCAGAATGCACAGCTAGGGTGGGGAAACTGAGGGACGACACATTGCCCTTCATGAGGCATCGGAAACTGAAGAGAGATAATATTTATCCTCTCACCAGATCTTATCGTTTCCCGTGACTACATACTGACATTATTTTTCTTCACTCTGCCTTAACATAGGTCTGTGCTGTGGTGTTCACTGCACACATGGCAGCCATATGAACACGTGCAGGGCTGGGTGTTTGGTGTGAGAGGGGCCTTGCTCTGCCCAGTTCCTCTCTGTTCCGGGTGGACAGGAAGCTCCCCTCTCACCTGTTCTGATTTGATGTGCTCTGATGCCTGGAAGACATCGGGATAGGAAGGACGCTCGAAGACCCGATCCAAAGCTTCCAACTGCTGCTGGGTGAAGGTGTCGGCTCGCAGGTGCTTCCGCAAACTGTCCACACCACTCTGGGAGTCTCCATTAGGGACGGAGCCCTCGGACACATCTGGGGAACACATAAACACTTCAGGCACGAGCACCAGGCCAGCAGAAACAAGGAAGGATGCAGTGGGTGAAGGGCTGTGTACTTGGCTCTGGACCCCGGGACCCTGTGCCCCTGCTAAGGTCTCTTCCTTCCGGTCCATAAGCTAGAGGAGGCTGGAGGCCTGGGCCTAGAGGCCTGGGAGGCCAGCCCCTCCTCAGAGACCTGGTTGAGGAAGCCAGAGCTCTGAAAGAAGGGAGGTCATAGCTGGGTGGACAAGAGGTGGGGCCAGGGGGTCCCATGAAGCTGTCTCCAAGGCTTTCTTTTCCCAGCACCTCCACCCATCCCCCAGCCTGCGTCGTCTGGGGGAGGGGCTGGGTTCTCAGACAGGCATTACTGTGGAGAATTGAACTGGGTTCAGATAAATTTCAGTTCCACGGATTCTAGGGGTTGAAAATCAACAAACCAGGCTGGGTAAAGTAATGAACTACTCCCGAGGAGGAGGGGCTCTGGAAGCAAAGCTCAGGGACACTGGCTGGGAGGAGTCATGTGCTGTTTGGGCACCCCTGAATAGACTCCAGAGAGCAGCAAACTGTTGTGACCTGGCCACGGGTCTCCTCTGGGGGGCTCTGGCTCAGGCCTCAGTAAGAGCCAGCTCCCTGGACACCTGGCTGGCTATTCCATCAGGTTTCCATGAGGAGTCAAGACTTGCTCTATGGAAAAGGCCTAGGCGGTGACCACTAGAGTCTGCTTCTGGCCGGAAGGCAGTCCTGTCTCCAAGTGAGGTTCCACCTCGGCCGCTCATTGCCCTATCTGTCCTTGCTTCCAGTGTTTGGTCACTTGGAGCTTTTAGAGCATGCTGAGGACAAAGGGCCTGTCCAACAGCCACTTTGATCCCTCACCTAGCAACTCTCCTGGCCTTCCAGCCCCAGCCCGCCATTCCTTAGCTTTCCTCAGCCCATGACAAGCTAGGGAGCCTTGGGCCTGGGGCCAGCCTGTGCTTTAGGGCCTAGGGTGTTCCTCTGGGACTGTTATATATATCAGTTTATAGGTGATTATATGATATGATATAATCAATATTGCATTATATACAGTAACATCGTACAGTATCATTTGGGAGACCATAGAAAGTATTACATATTGATTAACCTCAATCTACAGCTGTCTTCCCTTGCTGGCCTCCCAGATGGAGCAAAAGGCCCTGTTTTCCAAAAGGACCTCCCATCTTCCCACCATACTGTTCAGGAGCAAAGAAAGTGGGGGGAGGCGGCGAGGGAGAGGTAAAGAGAAAATATGGAGAGAGAGAGAGAGAGAGAGAGAGAGAGAGAGAGAGAGAGAGAGAGAGAGAGAGAGAAGGGAAGAGAACAAGAGAAAGAGAGAGGGAAAGACACTCAGAGAGAGACACTAAGATGAGCCTGAGGTGGGCAGAGGCAGCCTTGGTGGCATTCCTGGGTTCCTGTGGATGTAAGACCTGGTAGTTGTATATTTTTCTGCATGGTTCTGGAACCATGTGTGACCCTGTAGGGGGACTGGAATACAGTATGCTATTTTCCCCTTTGTGTGAGTGTTCTCTGTGCATATACATGTGCATGTAAACATCTGCGTGAATAAGGGTCTTGGTGAGTCTGAATGACAGCATGAATCTCTTTTGAAAGAACACATGCACACGAGGACTGTGGGCCCGTGTCCCCTTTCTCCCGTGAGCATGCCTCTTTCCAGGATGCACACCTCCACGGCCTGCCACTGTCTGCCTGCCTGCGGTGCCCAACTGTCTCTGCTTGCAGCCCTCCTGCCTTCTGGGGGGAGCCCTGCTGCTAGGGCCTAGTGAGAGCAGCATCACGGGATGTTGTGTTTATTGTTCCTACTGAAAGGGCCCTGGGAGTAGAAGGTACATTCGTCTGTGAGCATGCATTCAAATATGTGTGTGAGTGTGAGCACACACATGTGGCAAGATCCATTTCATGCCTCTCTGTGGATTTGTGTGGCTTGCCTCACCCTGTGACCGAGGTGTGTGTGTGTGTGTGTGTGTGTGTGTGTGTGTGTGTGTGTGTGTGTGTGTGTGTGTAGGAGCTGAACTAAAGCTTTGTCCTCAGGTCACTGGCTGGAGGAGTCTCTTTGCCTTCATTTATTCAGGGGCCCTTCAGATCTTGACAAATCTGTCACTCTAAATTTGCGAGAGATTATGGTGCTCTCTCCCCAGCCCGCAGAGAGGTGATATATGATATCTGCTGCCCCTATTGATTGCCTGATCTGGTGGCAGAGGCCGGCGAAATGAACTTGAAATGAACATCATGCCTCAACTCATTGTGCGTATAATACACTACTTAATCCCACATTTTTCAGCCGCTATGGAATTCAATTGATCAATCATGTTCCACTGATAGTACTGTTTTAGGGGTTATTGCTGCTCCCTCCACTCACTGACCTTTTTATTTATTTATTTTTTTGTACACACTGGCCCTGGTGGTGAGACAGGTTACAGAAGCAGCGATGGCGGGAAGCAGGGGTGGGGGGCTGGAAGGGAAGGAAAGAGGAAGCCAGCTCCTGGAAGAGGAGGCCCTGGGAGGTGGGGGCAGAGGAAGGAGACAGGAAAAGTAGGGGACTGGTAGCATGAAAGTGTGAGCTGCTGGCACAGGAGGAAAGAGCTTGAACTCTGATCTTAGGCTGGGGGAGTCCCGGGGGAGGGGGGTGTCTCCAAGTGGGAAGAAAGGCCATGAGGAAGCATCTTCATCTGGAAAGGTGGAGTTTTGATGAGCAGTGAAGTATGGTTAGAGGGAATCACGGTGGTGGTGGTGGTGTGTGTGTGTGAGAGAGAGAGGGGGAGAGAGAGAGAGAGAGAGAGAGGTGAGCTACAGGGCAGGGAGAAGACAGTGAGTGTAATTACTGGTGGGGAGACAGGGAGACATCTCCCTCCAACTTAGCCACAGGCCTGGGCTGTCCCTGGCATGCTCTATAAAAGGGATGGTGCCCTTCCTTTGGGAATGAAGGAAGTGGGGAGGAGCCAAGGCAGAGAGAGGGCAGACAGAGCAGGGAAAGGAAGTGGGAGGGACCATGGGCCAGGAAGGTGCCAGGAGGAGATGCTTCTGCAAGAAGAAAGCAGAGAAGCAGGGCAAGGGCAGGAAGAGGGGGAGGAAAATGGAAGAGACCTTCTACACCAGAAACTGGGAGGTGCTGGACAAGACGGTTGGCAGAGGATGGAACCTGGTGTCACAGCTGAGTGTCCAGCTTTGGGGAGCAGTCTGGAGGGGGTGACGGGAGACTAGGAAGAGGAGGAAAAGGAGAAGAGAGTAGAAAGAGAGATAAAGCGTCAAAGGAACGTGTGGGGAAGTGGAGTAAAATAAAGCGGTTGGCAGTGCTCCTCTGGAGTGACCCCCAGAAGCGATGGAGAGAGCACCCAGGCAGTCTGGAGAAGAGGCCACTGCGAGGACCAGTCAGAGCTTGAGGGGCTGTCTGGCAAAGCTGTGCAGCCATTGGCAGAGTCAGAACTGAGTCCTGACCTTCGAGTGAGAGGGAAGGAACACGTGGGAGTAGTTAGCATCGATTGCAAGGAAGCTAGGTTCTGAGTTCCTGCGGGCAGGGACCACGCATTTCTGTAACTCTAGACTAGGCATGACACATATCAGGTACTCATTACGTGAATGAATGAATGAATGAATGAATGAATGAATGAATGAGCGATTGAGTGAGTGAATGAGACTCTCCCTTATGGTACTCAGAATGAGACCCCTGGCAGAAATTTTCTAGACTGGCCAGCCTCAGCTGGTTGGTCCAGCACACTCGGTCATTTGTCAGCCCACTGTTAGCCTCTGGCAGCGTCAGCTCCCGTCCCCTGGAAGTCCTTGCTGCCTCAGCAATACCATCCACCTACCCACGGCGCCTCGAGCTAACGGAAAACACCGTTCCTGAGCAGTACCACCTACCCACGGCGCCTCGAGCTAACGGAAGACACTGTTCCTGAGCAGTACCACCTACCCACGGCGCCTCGAGCTAACGGAAGACACCGTTCCTGAGCAGTACCACATACCCACGGCACCTCGAGCTAACGGAAAACACCGTTCCTGGGAATTTAGCCTTGGAATCAAAGGACTGCCACCCAGAACAGGTGGCAGAAGCCACTCCAGGACAGGGCTCAGAGTCTACGTGAGTCAACATTTGAACTCGCTGTGCCAAGAAGGCTGGAGTACGGTGACTGTATGTTCTGGACTTTCTGGAACAATCCCTACTTACAATATTCTTTTCAGCTCTCGGGCTTGGCTTTTAGGGAGAGGATGGATAATATTGCTGTAGGCTTCTTACCCTCCGTGTTATGAGAGGACCATGTGCTGGCCTGATAGTCACCACTGATGGAGAAGTCAATCCAGCTTCCCCTGGCCCCTGCCAGACACTCCACTACTGCACAAGGATCGGGGGCCCCTTGGACTGGGGACGCGGCTCAGTGGGAACATTTACACAGCACATTCGAGGCCCTGGATCCAATCTCCAGTACCACAAAGCAAACAAACAAACAAACAAAATAATGAAAAGAATTATAAAGCTGTACGTAGCAGTGCCTGCCTGGACTCTCAGGATTCAGGAAGTTACAGCAGGGACATTGTGAGTCCCAAGCCAGCAGGGGCTAGCTAGGGAGACCCTGTCTCAAAGGAACTAAAAACTAAAAGCGATGCTTCTGTACTCCAGAGCTCCTTTAATCCCTTCCAACAATGCTGCGAAATAAACACTGCGGCACTACTTTATGTACAAGGAAACCAAGACAGAGGACATTAGGTAGCTTGTTAAAGACTGTGCCCACAGAAAATGACAGTCAGGATTTGAGTCCAGGTCCCATATGAGAGCTTGTCTCCTAAATTACTTTACTCTGAAGCCTAGGTACTGAGCCCAGGGGTCTAGGGTCACTTGGCCCTATTCAGGGTACATCCGCAGTTCTTTGCTGGCGCTTTTCCCTGCAGTGAGGCTAACCCCTGTGGTGTGTGCTGGCTGAGCACAGACTGCTCAGGTGATTAGGGTACTGCATTTATGATGTTATG